GTGGAGCTCCCTATGGGGCCACGAAACGTGTGAGGGGTGTGCCGAAATGGGTGTGCGGGACGCATGCGGACGGCAGCCTGGGGCCTTCGGTGGAGCTCCCTGTGGGGCCACGAAACGTGTGAGGGGTGTGCCGAAATGGGTGTGCGGGACGCATGCGGACGGCAGCACTGGGGCCTTCGGTGGAGCTCCCTGTGGGGCCACGAAACGTGTGAGGGGTGTGCCGAAATGGGTGTGCGGGACGCATGCGGCAGCACTGGGGCCTTCGGTGGAGCTCCCTGTGGGGCCACGAAACGTGTGAGGGGTGTGCCGAAATGGGTGTGCGGGACGCATGCGGACGGCAGCATGGGGCCTTCGGTGGAGCTCCCTGTGGGGCCACGAAACGTGTGAGGGGTGTGCCGAAATGGGTGTGCGGGACGCATGCGGACGGCACCCATGGGGCGTTCGGTGGAGCTCCCTGTGGGGCCACGAAACGTGTGAGGGGTGTGCCGAAATGGGTGATGACGATGACGATGACGACGATGACAATGACGATGATGATGATGATGATGATGATGATGATGATGATGATGATGATGATGATGATGATGATGATGATGACGATTATGATGATGATGATGATGATGAGGATGAGGATGAGGATGAGGATGATAGGAGGGGAGAGGAGGCGGAGGAGGAGAAGAGAGGAGGAGACGCGGGCCACCGTCTCTTCAAAACGAGGACCCAACACCACAGGATGGTTGGGAACAACACAAAGTGCTCGCGGACCTCACGAACATGACCCAAGACGTTGCCCCAAAGCGTACTTTGTATTGTTTTTCCCAACCATCCTGTGGTGTTGGGTCCTCGTTTTGAAGAGACAGCGCCCCGCGTCCTCACTCCTCTCCTCCTCCCCCTCCTCCCTCCCACCATCATCATCGTCGTCATCATCATCATCATCATCGTCATCGTCATCGTCACCGTGATCGTCGTCGTCCTCATCATCGTCATCACCATCATCATCGTCACTATCATCCTCATCACCATCAGCATCGCCATCATCGAAACCATCATTGTCATCAGCTTCGGCACACCCCTCACACGTTTCGTGGCCCAAGAGGGAGCTCCACCGAAGGCCCCAGTGCTGCCGCCCGCATGCGTCCCGCACACCCAAGGCGGCACACCCCTCACACGTTTCGTGGCCCCACAGCTAGCTCCACCAAAGGCCCCAGTGCCGCCGCCCGCACGCGCCCCGCACACCCAATTCGGCACACCTCTCACGCGCTTCGTGGCCCCATAGGGAGATCCACCGAAGGCCCCGGTGCCGCCGCCCGCATGCGTCCCGCACACCCACTTCGGCCACCGAAGGCCCCAGTGCCGCCGCCCGCATGCGTCCCGCACACCCAAGGCGGCACACCCCTCACACGTTTCGTGGCCCCATAGGGAGCTGTACCGAAGGCCCCAGCGGCGCCGCCCGCATGCGTCCCGCACGCCCAATTCATTCGGCACACCCTCACACGCTTCGTGGCCCCATAGGGAGCCGCACCGAAGGCCCCAGCGCCGCCGCCCGCATGCGTCCCGCACACCCAAGTCGGCACACCCCTCACACGCTTCGTGGCCCCATAGGGAGCTGGTGGTCCCGACAGCTTCCCTAGGGCCGATTTCTTCGTCGTCGTCCTCCGTCGTCGACGTCCGACCTGCGCGCGTCGCGGGGGCTCCGCGTAGCGCAGCACTTGCAGTCTTGAACTTTGGAGCGCGCGGGCAAAGAGGAGGAAAAGAAGGGGAGGAAGCGGGCGCGATCCTCGTGAGGGGCGTGCAGACATGGGCGTCGCGGCCCGCGGGCGCTGCCGCCGGGGTTCCCAGGAAAAGTCCTTGCGGAGGCTACGCTCAGTGTCACGAGTTCTTAGAGTTAGGCAGACCCAAACCATTCACAGTCGTATGCATTTACACTAGGCGACTCCATGGTCGCAGTCATGCAAATAGAATCAATCCCACGCATAGTAATTCTGAATCAGACCCACTCGCGCTTAGACACGCCCGCGCTCAAGCTTTCATGCTCGGACCTATCGTTTTCGGTCGTGTTGTGTACCCCACCACACAATTCGGCGCACCCCTCATGCGGCTCGTGACTCCATAGGGAGCACCGCCGAAGAATATATGCACGCTTGCGGTATTCGCAGCTGCGTATGGTTGGGTCCTCCGCCAGGCTAATTGACAGGGCTGGTGGTGGGGGGGGGCGCATCGCGTTGGCCGCGCATGCTCCAAATTTGGATGCGGAGAGCGTTATGTATTGCTTTGTTCCCAACCATCCTGTGGTGTTGGGTTCTCGTTTTGAAGAGACAGCGCCCCGCGTGCCTCCTCCTCCTCCTCTCCTCCTCGTCCCCCTCCTCCCCTCCTCCCTCCTCCCTGCGTTCACCCACCCAGTACAGCGCTTCGTGGCCTCATAGGGAGCTCCATCGAAGCCCCCCCTGGCACCGCCCGCATGCGTCAGCCACCACCCAGCACAGCGGTTCGTGGGCCCATAAGGGGGCTCCACCGAAGGCCCCAGTACCGCCGCCCGCATGCGTCAGCCACCACCCAGTACAGCCGTGGCCCCGTAGGGAGCTCCACCGAAGGCCCCAGTGGCACCGCCCGCATGCGTCAGTCACCACCCAGTACAGCGTTTCGTGGCCCCACAGGGAGCCCCACCGAAGGTCCCAATGGCACCGCCCGCATGCGTCAGCCACCACCCAGCACAGCGCTTCGTGGCCCCATAGGAGGCTCCACCCAAGGTCCCAGTGGGACCGCCCGCATGCGTCAGCCACCACCCAATACAGCGCTTCGTGGCCCCACAGGGAGCTCCACCGAAGGTCCCAGTGGTACCGCCCGCATACGTCAGCCACCACCCAGCTCAGCGCTTCGTGGCCCCATAGGGGGCTCCACCGAAGGCACCAGTGGCACCGCCCGCAAGCGTCAGCCACCCTTCAGCACAGCGTTTCGCGCCCCCGTATTGGAGCTCCACCGAAGGTCCCAGTGGCACCGCCCGCATGCGTCAGTCACCACCCAGTACAGCGCTTCGTGGGCCCATACGGAGCTCCACCGACGGCCCCATTGGCACCGCCCGCATTCGTCATCCATCACCCAGTACAGCGCTTCATGGGCCCATGGAAAGCTCCACCGAAGGCCCGAGTGGCACCGCCCGCATGCGTCATCCACCACCCAGCACAGGTTTTCGTGGCCCCACAATGGGGTGTCACCGAAGGCTCCAGTGGCACCGCCCGCATGCGTCAGCCACCACCCAATACAGCGTTTCGTGGCCCGACGGGGAGCTCCATCGAAGGTCCCAATGGGACCGCCCGCATGCGTCAGCCACCACCCAGTACAGCGTTTGGTGGCCCCGTAAGGAGCTCCACAGAAAGACCCCAATGGCACCGCCCGCATGCGTCGTCCACCACCCAGTATTGCAATTCGCGGCCCCATTGTTTGGGAGCTCCACCAAGCCCCACTGGCACCGCCCGCATGCGTCCCCCCCACCCGGTAGGTACAGCGCTTCGCGGCCCACAGGGAGTTCCACCAAAGGCTCCACTAGCACCGCCCGCATGCGTCAGCCACCACCCAATACAGCGTTTCGTGGCCCCGTAGGGAGCTCCACCGAACGTCCCAGTGGCACCGCCCGCATGCGTCCCCCCCACCCAATACAGCGCTTCGTGGCCCCATAGGGAGCTCCAGTAGCCCGCCCGCGTGCGTCAGCCACGCCCAGTACATCGCTTCGTGGGCCCATACGGAGCTCCACCGAAGGCCCGAGTGGCACTGCCCGAATGCGTCCCCCCCTCCCGTGGCCCCACAGGGAGCTCCACCGAAGGGCCCCGCTAGCACCGCCCGCGTGCGCCCCCCCTCCCCCGGTACTGCTCGCTCTGATCCCAGCGCGTCATCCACCACCCAGTACAGCACTGCGTGGCCCCATAGGAACTCCACCGAAGGTCCCGGTGGGACCGCCCGCATGCGTCATCCACCACCCAGTACAGCGCTTCGTGGCCCCACCGAAAGCCCCAGTGGCACCGCCCGCATGCGTCATCCACCACCCGGTACAGTGTTTCGTGGCCCCATAGGGAGCTTCACCGAAGACCCCAGTGGCACCGCCCGCATGCGTCAGCCACCACCCAGCACAGCGGTTCGTGGGCCCATAAGGGGGTTCCACCGAAGGTCTCCGCGGCGGAACGCGCCGCATGGCGGCCCAGTGGCGGAGTTCGCATGGCGGCGACTTTCGATGTTCGGAAGTTTTTCGTCGTATTCGACGTGTTGAGGCCGCGCTCGGGCCGCGCATCCTGGGCGGGAGCCAGCCTGCTCGCTTCCTCTGCTCCGCGCAGCGGACGACACGCGCGCGTCGCGGGGACCCCTTCGGGGCGACCAGCGCGCGTCGCGGGGACTCCGTGCGGCGCCGCGCCCGCACTTGGACGCGGGCGCGCACGGGCAAAGAGGGAGAAGAAGAACGGGAAGGAAACAGGCGCGATCCTCGTGAGAGGCGTGCCGACATGGACGTCGACATTTATGCACGTAAACTCACGCGCGCGCAGACTCATCCACAATCAGACTCGCTCGCTCGCACTCTGTCGCACACAGACCTATCGTCTTCGCTCGCCTTGCGTGCCCCGCCACGCATGTCGGCACGCACCTCACACGGTCAGGGAGCGCGGGCGAAGATAATATTCATAATTGCGGTATTCACAATTGCATATGGTTGGGTCCTTCGCCAGGCTAATTTGACAGGGCTGGTGGGGGGGAGCATGGGGTCCTTTTGGTTCCTGGATGGTTGCCGGCTTCCTGGGGGATGGGATGTAGATCGAATAAGGAAAAGTGATCAGCCCATGCCCCGAGCACGGGAAGGAGGGGGAGAGAAGACAAAACTCGTCAAACCACCTACGCCCAGAGGGCTGGCGGGACTCCGTCCTTCGTGCTGCGCCTGCCGGCCGCGCCACGGGGCGGCCGCACCGGCCGCCCGACCCGAGAGCCTGGCCCGCCGAGCCGCCCGCGGCGCCCCCGCTGCGAGGGTCACCGCGGTGGAGCGCGTGTTCGTCGACCTGAAGAGCCAGAGGGGCCAGGCGGAACGCCCGGCGGCCCCCCGGCCCGGCGTGCCCCCGGCAGCTCGCGGCTGCCCTGGGCCCGTGGTTCACCGAGCGCGTTTCCCATTGCTCGCACAGTGCCTCCTCGCAAGCGGGGGGGGGAAAAAGGAGAGACCAACAAAAAATTAGCCTGGCGAAGAACCCAACCATATGCAGTTGTCAGTACCGCAGCTGCGGGTTTCATCTTCAATGGAACTCCCCATAGGACTACGGAACGTGTGAGGGGTGTGCCGAGATGGGTGCCACTGGGGCATTCGGCGAAGCTCCCTATGGGGACATGAAACACGCGCGGGGCGTGCCGACATGGGTGGCGGAAACGCATGTGCGGGCCGCCACTGGGGCCTCCAGTGGAGCTCCCTATGGGTCCCCGAAACATGATGCTGCTGCGGGGGGGGGGGCGGGATGGGTGGCGGAGACGCATGTAAGCGCCGCTATTGGGGCCTTCGGTGGAGCTCCCTATGGGGCCACGAAGCGCGTGAGGGGTGTACTGGGATGTGTGGCGGGGACGCATGTGAGCGCCGCCACTGGGGCCTTCGTGGGGCCACGAAACGTGTGAGGGGTGTGCCGAATTAGGTGCGGGTGGTGACGCATGCGGGCGGTGCCACTGGGGCCTTCGGTGGAGCTCTCTATGGGGCCACGAAACCTGTTGTTGTGAGGGGCGTGCCGGGATGGGTGGCGGGGACGCATGTGAGCGCGGCCGCTGGGGCCTTCGGTGGAGCTCCCTATGGGGCCACGAAACGTGTGAGGGGTGTGCCGAATTGGGTGGGTGTGGGTGACGCATGTGAGCGCCGCCACTGGGGCCTCCGGTGGATGATGGGGCCACGAAACCTGTCAGGGATGTGCCGAAATGGGTGCGCGGGACGCATGCGCATGTGAGCGCCGCCACTGGGGCCTTCGGTGGAGCTCCCTATGGGGCCACGAAACGTGTGAGGGGTGTGCCGAATTGGGTGTGCGTGACGCATGCGGGCGGCAGCACGCCTTCGGTGGACTATGGGCCACGAAACGCGTGAGGGGTGGTGCGTGCGGGACGCATGCTGGGGCGCAGGGGCCTTCTGTGGGGCTCCCTATGGGGCCACGAAACGTGTGAGGGGTGTGCCGAATTGGGTGTGCGGGACGCATGCGGGCGGCAGCACTGGGGCCTTCGGTGGGGCTCCCTATGGGGCCACGAAACGTGTGAGGGGTGTGCCGAATTGGGTGTGCGGGACGCATGCGGGCGGCAGCACTGGGGCCTTCGGTGGGGCTCCCTATGGGGCCACGAAACGTGTGAGGGGTGTGCCGAATTGGGTGTGCGGGACGCATGCGGGCGGCAGCACTGGGGCCTTCGGTGGGGCTCCCTATGGGGCCACGAAACGTGTGAGGGGTGTGCCGAATTGGGTGTGCGGGACGCATGCGGGCGGCAGCACTGGGGCCTTCGGTGGGGCTCCCTATGGGGCCACGAACGTGTGAGGGGTGTGCCGAATTGGGTGTGCGGGACGCATGCGGGCGGCAGCACTGGGGCCTTCGGTGGGGCTCCCTATGGGGCCACGAAACGGTGAGGGGTGTGCCGAATTGGGTGTGCGGGACGCATGCGGGCGGCAGCACTGGGGGCCTTCGGTGGCTCCCTATGGGGCCACGAAACGTGTGAGGGGTGTGCCGAATGGGTGTGCGGGACGCATGCGGGCGGCAGCACTGGGGCCTTCGGGGCACCTCTCTAGGGGGCCACGAACGTGTGAGGGGTGTGCCGAAATGGGTGTGCGGGACGCATGCGGACGGCAGCACTGGGGCCTTCGGTGGAGCTCCCTATGGGGCCACGAAACGTGTGAGGGGTGTGCCGGAATTGGTGTGCGGGACGCATGCGGACGGCAGCCATGGGGCCTTCGGTGGAGCTCCCTATGGGGCCACGAAACGTGTGAGGGGTGTGCCGAAATGGGTGTGCGGGACGCATGCGGACGGCAGCACTGTGGCCTTCGGTGGAGCTCCCTGTGGGGCCACGAAACGTGTGAGGGGTGTGCCGAAATGGGTGTGCGGGACGCATGCGGACGGCAGCACTGGGGCCTTCGGTGGAGCTCCCTATGGGGCCACGAAAAGTGTGAGGGGTGTGCCGAAATGGGTGTGCGGGACGCATGCGGACGGCAGCCATGGGGCCTTCGGTGGAGCTCCCTATGGGGCCACGAAACGTGTGAGGGGTGTGCCGAATTGGGTGTGCGGGACGCATGCGGGCGGCAGCACTGGGGCCTTCGGTGGGGCTCCCTATGGGGCCACGAAACGTGTGAGGGGTGTGCCGAATTGGGTGTGCGGGACGCATGCGGGCGGCAGCACTGGGGCCTTCGGTGGAGCTCCCTGTGGGGCCACGAAACGTGTGAGGGGTGTGCCGAAATGGGTGTGGCAGGAGGAGGGGGGGGAGGAGGAGAGGAGGAGACGCGGGCCACCGTCTCTTCAAAACGAGGACCCAACACCACAGGATGGTTGGGAACAAATCTTGTGCGCAAGGGATCGTGAATCCCCCGCGGCGGAACCAGGCCCCTGGCGAGCAGCTGCTCTGCGAGTAGTGGAACGCGCTCGTCTAGCGGTGGGCTTCGTGGGGGGTCGTCCGGGGGCCGCGGACCCATTCCTGCAGATCCTGGGGGGGGTCCTGGGGTGTTTCCCCTCCCCGTTTGTCCTTCCCGCCCCCTCTCCCTCGCGCCTCTCCCCCGCCCCTTCTCCCCCTCCCCTTCCCCTTCCTCCCCCCCCCTCCTAGCTTCCCTCCCCCTCTCCCCCTCCCCCGCCCTTCCCCCCCTCCCAAGGTTCCTTCCCGCCGTCCCCCGCCCCTCCTCCCCCCAGTCTACGCTAGCGGCCGCGCTAGCGCTGAGCGTCCCGCTGGCTCATACGGCAGGCGTTCCGACGAACCCATCGTCCATTCACGCCGCCTACCTCCGCTTTCTCCTCCTCCCTACGAATACTGTGCGGAAGATATCCCACCCCCTCCGCATATTGCTCTTCACATAGGAATTCCAATGTTGATATTCCCGATGGCTTTTGTTTACACTTCGATTGCTTTCGGTTTTCAAGATAGTGCTCCCGCTGCAGCGTGGGCCTCATTGTCGGCGCCCGTCATTCAGAAGAGCGCTCCCGCCTCAGCGTGGGATGCCTTTCTGGATCCCACAGGTCTCGCAGGTCCCACAGCTCGCAGGCTCCACAGGGCCCACAGCACCACACAGGTGTCGCAGGTCTCGCATGCCCCACAGGTTCCATGGGTCCGACAGCTCCCGCAGGCCCCACAAGTCCCAGAGGAGTCGCATGCCTCACGGGTCCCACAGAGGCTCCCCAGGTCTCACAGGTCCCGCCCGTGCCACAGGTCCCACAGGTCTCACGGTTCCCACAGATCCCACGGGCCCCACAGGCCACATAGGTTCCCCAGGTCGCACAGGTCCCAAAAGTTCCCCGTTTCCGACTGCGCATAGCACGATGGGGTTTGTTGTGGAGTTCCAGGTCGGTTGTGGCATGCGTCCGCGGATAAAGATTGAGTCAGCGCAGTGGGAAGGGATGGGAGGGAGGTATATGATGTCAGATATGGCGCACCTAGCTTGTCCCCCCCCCTCTCCCCACCCCCTACCCCCTTCCCTCCTACGCGGGGAGGGAGAGGCAGGAGAAGGAGGACGAGGAGGAGAAGGAGGAGGAGGAGGAGGAGGAGAGGGAGTATAATCGAGGGCCACAGCTCGTCGGAGAACTCAGGGCCTTCAGTTTCAGGCTTCCGATGGGGGAGGAAGAGGATGAGAAGGAGGAGCAGGAGGGGAAGGTGTCACGCAGGTCTCCTGTGTCCCTCCCTCAGCCTCCCCGCTTGGGGCCTCCCTCTCTGAGAGTCGTGACTGAGGGGGTTCTCCCAGCCCGCGCGCTGGCCGCGTGTGTTCCCGCCGATGCCTTGATCAGGGGCGAGTCGACGACGCTCGTCTTCCGCAGAACCAAGAGTCACCAAGAGTAGGTGGAGGAGAAGGGGGTGGGGAAAGAGGGAAAGGAGGAGCAGCAGGAGGAGAAGCAGGACCCGAGTGCCCAGAATGCATCCACGATGCTGAAGCACACCCTCTCCTCCAAGTCCATCCTCGTCAGTCGGCCCCCCGTCGCGGGCCCCCTCTCTATCAGCATGAGATATAGCAGAGTCTCGTCGGTGCGTCTCGGTGCCGCCTTGGCGCATCTGGGAGCATCATGCGGGGGCGGATGGGAATCCCCAGCGCATATTGAGACGTCGGCGGTATCGAAGACGCCTGCGGCGAATCACCGCCGCCCCCTTGCCTCTTTGGAAGCGCCTGCGTGGCCGAAAGCTGGGTTTCAGCTTGGCCAAGCTATCAGGCCACGCGTTCCTCGAGTGGGGTTCGAAAGCCTTCGGGGAACGCGGAGTCGGGCGAGCTATCGGACCAGGTGGTTTCCGAGTGCTCGGGCCTCCTGGAGGACGTCTTGGAGGGGCCTTGGGCCGTCTTGGAGGCTTGTGGTGGGCCTTTTGGGCAGTCGAAGGCCATCTTCAGGCCATATGGGGCCATCTTGGGTGAATCGTGGGGCCAGCTTCGCCGTCTTGGAGGCCTTCTTGGCCGTCTTGGAGGCATCTTGGAGGCCATCGTGGCCGTCTTGGATGCCATCTTGGGCGTCTTGGGGGCCATATTGGGCCGTCTTGGCGTCTTGTTGGGGCCTTCGTGGGGGCCTCTTGGGTTGTCATGGGCCATCGTGGAGGCCTCTTGGACGCTCTTGGGTCGATGGTGGGGGCCGCTTGGGCCGTCTTGGGCAGTCGGAGAGCTGAAAAGGAGCAAAAGCCAACATCGTTCGACACCTAAGGAAAATCAATGATGTTGGCCCTTTTCGGGCCTTGCTGGAGGACGTCTTGGAAGGCTTTTGGGCCGTCTTGGAGGCCTCTTGCGGGCCTGTACGGCCGTCTTCGGCCATCTCGGGCCGCCTTGAGTGCATTTGCGGGCCATCTTGGCCTTCTTGGAGGCATCTTGGAGGCCATCTTGGCCGTCTTTGAGGCTATCTTGGGCGTCTTGAGGGCCTCTTGGACCGTCTTGGGGCCTTCTTGGGGCTCTCTTGGGGGCCTCTTGGGCTGTCATGGGGCCATATTGGATGCCTCTTGGACGCTATTGGATCGATGTTTGGGGTTGCTTAGGCCGTCTTGGGCCGTCGGAGAGCTGAAAAGGAGCAAAAGCCAAAATCCTTAGAAATCTCAGGAACATCAATGACTTTGGCCCTTTGCGGGCCTTGCAGGAGAACGTCTTGGAAGGCTCTTGGGCCGTCTCGGAGGCCTCTCGCGAGCCTTTTGGGCAGTCTTAGGCCATCTTGAGGCCATCTTAGGCCGTCTTGGGTGCATCTTGGAGCCATCTTGGCCGTCTTGGAGGCCATCTTGGCCGTCTTGGAGGTATCTTGGAGGCCATCTTGGGGCCCGTCTGCCATTGCATGCAGAGGAGGAGGAGGAGGAGGAGGAGGAGGAGGAGGAGGAGGCCATGAGAAGGTGACAGAGGGGCGCGGAGGGAGCCTTGAGGGGGCGGCCAGGAGGTGGGCGGGGCGAGGCAGGAGGAGGCGGCGCAGGGGGGCGCGGGCGGGAGAGGTCCCGAGGGGCCACGGGGAGGAGGAGGAGGAGGAGGAGGAGGAGGAGGAGGAGGAAGAGGAGGAGGGAGGAGGACGAGGAGGAGGAGGAGGAGGAGGAGGAGAAGGAGGAGGAGGAGGAGAAGGAGGAGGAGGACGAGGACGAGGAGAGGACGAGGAGGAGGAGGAGGAGGAGGAGGAGGAGGAGGAGCAGGGGGAGGAGGAGGAAGGGAGGAGGAGGAGGAGGAGGAGGAGGAGGAAGGAGGCGGCGGCAGCAATGCTGAGCGCCCTCATTGCATGCAGAGATCACGTAGCCCCTCAGGGGGGCCGTGCACCACGAAGGGGCTGCGGACTCCCGGGGATGGGAGCACGCCGGCGAGGGGGGGCGGGAGCTCTCTTGAGGGTGGGGCGGGAATGCGAGGCGGGAGGGGGGGGAGCGCAGAGACAAGCGAGGTCTTCGCGAGGCGGCGCACCTGGTTGTTGCTTGGTCCCAGTCCTGTAGCGGATGGCGCTGGTGCTCAACCTATGCATGGCTTCTGGCGGTAGGGCCATTCCAAAATTGCCGTCCCGAACGCGGCACCCTTCCCGAGGAGAAGGGCCTGGACACACGACGAAGAGGAGGTGAAGGGGGAGCAGGATGAGCGGGGGAGGAGGGGGGAGGAGTAGGGAGGAGGAGGAGGAGGAGGAGGAGGAGGAGGGAGAGGGGGATGAGGAGGGGAGGGGTGAGAAGGAGGAGGGGGAGGGCGGAGGGGGGGAGGAAGGAGGAGGGAGGATGGAAGGAGGAGAGGAGGAGGAGGAGGAGGAGGAGGAGGAGGAGAGGGAGGAGGAGGGGGAGGGAGGAGGAGAGGGGGAAGAGGAGCACCAGAGTAAGGCCAAGATGCGTCAACGGTGCTGCCACAGCCCCCCCTCCCCTCTTAGGGGTCCCTAAACCGCGATCCTCGTCACCACCAGAGGCGCCGTCCCCTCCAACGGCGGGCACGCCACATTATGCGCCTGCCCCTCCGGCGGGGGTCCCTCGTCTCCACGAGGGGCTGCCCTGCTTTGTTGCTCATGGCTTCTGGGGGATACGATTCCGTCGGGCCCCGTCTACAGGAGGAAGATTTAAAAAAATGTCAAACATTCGTCGGGTGACGACTTTTCTTATTATACACATACGCATACATATATTTCATATATATATATATATACACGGATTGACTATGTTTGATGTTTCGCCCAAAATCCGCCTGTAGGAGGGCATGCCCGACCTAGAAATACGAATGGCTGGGACCAGAAAGTTGAAGGGTGTGGTCGGCGAGAGTTCCGCTTCTGCGGAGGACCCCCCCCCCCAGGCGCGTCACGAATGCACATGTGTGCACACGCATGGTAACTGGTTTGGAGGAAGTCTGAGGCGACTGCCCCAGTTTGAAAAGGCCGCGGCTACATATGTGTGGGGATGTTTCCAGCAAGAGCCACATGTTGAAAAGGAACCGCCCTGCATCTTTGCAGTTGATGTAAACGTATGAAACGAATGCGCGTAGCGCTAATTCGAGAGTCCCACTTTTGAAAAGGAACCGCCCTCTACTTTGGTAGCTGGTGCAAACTTTGAGACGAATGCGCGCGGCGCTGAGGCGCGAGCCCCAGGTTGGCAAGGAGCCGCCTTACATCTTCATAGCGGCTGCCAGCTTTTAGGACGAAGATGCCCAGCGCAGAGGCGCGATCCCAGTTGTGAAGCGGAACTGGTAGTCGGATCTGCACTTGTTGCAGAGGTTCAAGACAGAGTGTGCTGAGGCGAGAGCCCCAGTTCGACAAGGAACCGCCCTCTCCTCCATCTCGGTAGCGTCTGCAGAGTATTGTCCGCGGCGCAGCGACGAGAGCTACATGCTGAAAGCGCCTCCTCCTAATCCCCGCAACGGCTGCAACTATTGATGACGAATGCGTGCGGATCGAGGCAAAGTTCCATTAAAAAAAGACCCCCCCTCCACCCACAAGCTTCAGGAACATGACCGCGGCGAGGGATTTCAGGCGTCATGCCCAGGCCGCCCTGCCGGCGCGTCCGGGGGGGGGCGACGGGGAAGAGTTACTTACACCCCATCGGTCGTTGAAAGTTGGTACTTGTGGAGTCCCGTATTCCAGTATACTTTCAGCGCCTTCCTGCTTCAATGATCGAGTGGCTTCGCCTCTTCCGTCCTCCCAGGGGGGCGGACGAACCCAGTCTACTCTCGAACGCCCTCCTGCTTCATGTTCGCACCTGCTTCTTCCGACCGAGGGGTAAGGAGGAGGGATGGGGTTGGCGGAGCAGCCGGCGGAGGAGAGCCAGGAGAGCGGAGGAGCGGGACGGCGGGAGTCTTCGGGCTGGTGTGGCGCGGCGGGGGCCGCTCGGGCCGGCCATCCCCGCTGGCGGGCGGGCCCGCCCTCGGAGCGAGGGCATCCGGAGCCTCCACGGCGGGGGAGCTGCGGCTCTCTCCCTCTCGTCCTCCCTCTCCCTGCCCCCCCCCCTCCGTCCCCTCCCCTGCCTCCCTCCACCCCTCCCCTCCAATCCCCTCCATCCCCTCCATCCCCCTCCTCCAGCCCTCCCCCCCCCTCCCTCCCTCCCTCCCTCCCTCCCCTCGCCCTCCCTCCCTCCCCATCTCCACCTTCCTCCATCCCTCCATCCCCCCCTTCTCTCCATCCCACCTCCACCCGTTCTCCCTCCCCTCCCTGACCATCCCATCTCCCCGCCCCTCCCTCTTCCCTCCCTCACACCTCCCTCCTCCAATAGTCTTCCCCCAGAGGGCGGGGAAGGAGCAATATTAAGGGAGGGGAGGGAGGAAATATTCCCCCTATCCCTTTCCCCTCCCCCTCTCCCTTTCCCCTCCCTCCCTCCCCCCCTCAGTACTCATCCTCCCCCAAGTGACCTCCTCTGCTGCGCACCGCAGGCCGCCTCGAGCGAGCAGGTGCACGAGGTGGGAAGGACCCGCGGCCTACAAGACCAGTGGCCCCTAAGCTTACGTCGGGCCTGTCCCTCTACAGGAGGAAAACTCAAAAATTGTCAAGAACTAGTCTGGGGATAATTTTAGTACAATGTTTGACTATGTTGGAGCATGTCTGGACTATGTTTCCCGAATCAGTGCTTGCACTGAAGGGGTCCTCGCGGAAGTTGAAAGATTTGGCGAAAGTATCGCGCCGATTTTGGTCGCACGCTAGGTTTCCTGGTGCCGGATTCCGGGTTCCCAGGTTCCTGGTCATTGGTTCCGGGCCGATTTCGGAGGGCGGCGAGGTTCTCGGGTTCCCGGGTTCCTGGTCGATCTTCTTATCGATCGGTCTCACCATCGATTTGACTACCCACTTTTCGATCGATCTCACCATCGATATCACTATCGATCTCACAAGCGATCTCACTAGAGATCGCATGAGCGATCTCGCGATCGATCTCACTATCGATCTCATTGAATCGATTTCGTTCTCGGTCTCACGATCGACCTTACTACCGTCCTTTACTATCGATTACATAATCGATCTCATTATCGATTTCACAATCGGTCTCAGGATCAACAGTATTAGTTCTCAAACCATACCAATCCCTGAGGATGCTGCACACTCGTAAAGCGAATGTGCGCGGCCATAGGGCGGCATCCTCATTCCCCAATCTGTGATTGCACTGAAGGGGTCCTCGCGGAAGTTCAAAGATTTGGCGAAAGTTTCTCGCCGATTTGGGTTGTTGGCTGGGTTCCCGGGTTCCCCGTTCTGGGTTCCCGGATTTCCCGGTACCAGGTTCCGGGCCGATTTCGGAGTGCGGCGAAATTCTTGGTTCCCGGGTTCTTGGTCGATCTTCTTATCGATCGGTCTCACCATCGATCTCATTACCCACTTCTCTATCGATCTCAGCATCGATATTATGATATCACTATCGATTTCACAAGCGATCTCACTAGAGATCGCATGAGCGATCTCGCTTTCGATCTCACTATCAATCTCATTGAATCGGTTTCACTCTAGTTCTCACGATCGACCTTACAATCGTCCTCACTGTCGATTACACTATCGTTCTCATTATGGATGTCATAACCGATCTCAAGGTCCATGATATCCGTAAGGGCTTCGCCCCATGCCGCCGGCCCCCTGTCTCAGATAATGGGAGATGCAAAAGCTAAATCATGAGGTCTGGGCGCCGCCGTGAAGCAGTGTCGGGAACTGTTTGTTTTTCGACCCTGACCTTACGAATCTGCGTGAGGGGTGCCCCACCGAATTTCAGAAATGTAGCAAATCTCATGTGTGTTTGGACCCTGATCCCGCCGATCTGCGTGAGGGGCGCCAGCGAATTTCGGAAATGTTCAGAATCCCATTGGTTTTCGACCCCTGACCCCGCCGATCTGCGTGAGGGGTGCCAACAAATTTAAGAAATGTAGCAAATCCCTAGTGTTTTTAGACCCTGACCCCGCCGATCTGCGTGAGGGGTGCAAGCGAATTTTAGAAATGTTCAGAATCCCATCGGTTTTCGACCCCTGACCCCGCCGATCTGCGTGAGGGGTGTCACCGAATTTCAAAAATGTGGCAAATCCCTCCGGCTTTTGAACCGTGACCCCGCCGATCTGCGTGAGGGGTGCCCCACCGAATTTCAAAAATGTGGCAAATCCCATGTGTGTTTGGACCCTGACCCCGCCGATCAGCGTGAGGGGTGCCACCGAATGTCAGAAATGTTGCAAATCCCCAGTGTTTTTGAACCCTGGCCCCGCCGATCTGCGTGAGGGGTGGCAGCAAATTTCAGAAATGTGACAAATCCCATATGTTCTCGGACCCTGACCCCGCCGATCTGCGTGAGGGGTGTCACCGAATGTCAGAAATGTAGCAAATCCCATGTGTTTTTGGACCCTGACCCCGCCGATCTGGTGAAAGGTGTAAATTTTTATCCGCCCCAGCAATTCAGAGCACACGCTCAGGGCGGGCGTGCCAAACCTGCCCATTTGGGCCTCCCCCCCTCGCGCGGTCCATCAACAAGTAACAGTAAGCAGCAAGAAGCAGAACTGTAACAGTGGATACTGGAAGCTGCAACTGGCACAGGAAACTGCGAACCTTCGCCCCACAAGGGGGCCGGCGGATTAATTTTCAAGTCATCCACTGATTGGTGTTTTCTCAGGTGTAATTTTTGTTCGTCCAAAATCCGCCTGCAGGAGGACATGCCCGACCTAACCCTAAGCCCAGATCGCGTAGAAAAGAGGTCCTCGAAGAAAAGATTCAAGGATCGAGATTGCCCCCGGCGCATGAACAAGGAGGTCCGAGGGTCCTGGAGGTTTTTTTGCCAGTCTCGGCCTCGCGGGGCCTTTCCTGGCCCCAGGGCCGTCAAACAAAAGCTCGGGTTAAAGCTGGTATTGGGGAAAACGCTTGGGAGTCCATGGCCCGTATTCAGCAGTCCTTCGTGGCAAAGTCGTAGAGCTCAGACTTTCTGGTGAATACCTGCTGCTACCTCTGGAGCAGCTGCCGATGGCGCATGGACTGCAGACAGCGAGACAAGAGGCGTTCATAGTCAGGTGGGCATCGAGGATTGTGAGAAAGCGGCCCTAAAGGGCCCCTAAACTGCCACGACGGACCCAAAACGTGCACGAAAAATACACGTTTCTTCACCCCGCGCTGATTGCCCCCCGTAAACGAACACCCGAATGATGGCGGCGTTACCAACCGTTTTGATGAAGTGCGGAGGGGGCGTTGGCTACGGAATGTGCCTGGAAGGATCCAGACCCTTCAGGAGTCCTTATCTGCTAACGGCGGTGTTGATATCCATGGCCATGCCTCCATTGGTGTTCCGGTTTTCGGACCCTGGATTCCTCATCCAACGGTTCCTTTCTGGACGCCCGAAATGGGTACGGAAAGAATGGGTACAATGCCCAACAGCAGCTCCTGCTCATTTTGAACAGGACTCGCTGTCCACGCCGCCGCGGCCTGTGTCCATTCGAGACAGAAGGCCGCCTGCCCAACGCCCTCACCGCAATGAGATCTTCGGCGCCGCGCCCTTGCCAAGGATGACGGCAGGAAGACCGCCAGGGCACCGCATCGGGCATTATAAAAGGGCAGAGGCGGGGACGGGGCCACGGCAGCGCAGGAGAGCGGCGACCGCCAGAGCGCAGCCGTTGGGGGCGGGGCCGAGCGGAGGACGGCGGCGGAGATCGCCAGACCGCAGCTTCGGGGCTGGGGGGCACCAGGGGCAACGCCGGGGGGGGCGCAGGCTTGGGGGGGCGACAGGCTCGAGGCCCCCGGTGTTGGAGCGTGCCCCCCTCGGATCTCGGCGGATCCCCGGCCTCGGGAGGCATCCCGGCAGCTGCGCCTCGCCGAGAGCGTTTCCCGGGGGCCTGCCCGGGCCGTCCCGAGCGGCCGCCAGAGAGGCCCGCGCTGTGGTCCGAAGCCGTCGGGGGCGGGGCTGGGCGGGGCTCCGGGGGGAGGCGCATCGGCCTCCGATCGCCCACCCACCATCGCCAGGGGCCCGGCAGCGCTCCCCCCTCCCCCCCCGCGCCCAGGACCGCGCGGTTTCGTCATCGGGGGCCTATCGCCGATGTACAGTCGGGGCCCTGAAGAAGGAACCCTTTTCGTTGGGGAGGGGCTCCGCGTTCCTTAAGTGTTTCGCAGCTTGCCTCGGGTTTTCCTTCTGCTTTCGACAGGCATCGAAGGTTAACTTCTGGAAAAAGGGGCCTCGTTCCTTATTTAGGGTTCCTTAGGTCAACGCCCCGACTGTATCGCCGAGGTATCGGCGAGGCATCGGCGATCCGGCCGGATGCTCCTCCGCCGGGCCGGCCTCCCCCGAACGCTGACCTTCCAGATGCGCTCGAGGGCGGGGCCGGGGGGAAGAAGTCGGCAGGTCGCCGCAGCTCAGCGCCAGGGCCAGGGAGAGCCCCGGGCGGGAGGAGGAGGAGGAGGAGGAGGAGGAGGAGGAGGAGGAGGAGGAGGAATACGGGGAGGAGGAGGAGGAGGAGGAGGAGGAGGGCAAGCGGCGCATCTCTCGAGCTCCAGCACCAGGGCCTGCGAGGGGGTCTGATCGAGACCGCCAGAGCTCAGCAAGCACGTCTCTCTTTGTTTCTCTCTCTCTCTCTCGCATTTGGATCCTCCAGCTGCTTGGTGCCCTCCTCACCCTCCTCGACACCTCTCTCTCTCTCTCTCTCCTCGCCTCTGCACGTCGTGCTGAGCAAATGCTCAACATGCGTTCTCTCTCACTCTCTCTATCCCTCCCTGTCTCTCTCTCTCTCTCCCTCTCTCGCTCCATCCGGCTCTTACTTTTCATTTATATACACGTATATATATATATATATGTATGTATGTATACACATATATATATATATATATATATATATCTGTGTGTGTGCATTCCTCCTATATTCTTACCAGCCGCGGGGGTGGGAAAACCCCCGAACCGCCCCTACGAAACCCAGACCCCCAGGATCCTGGGCTTCCAGGCCCCCCAGACACCCTTGCCAAAGGCCCTCCGGCTCGTCCCGGACTTGCCAGGGCGCTTGGCCGGGTCTGGCCAGCAGGCCCCACACGATCAGAGCGGCGAGCCGAGAGGCCGAGGAGACGGCCCAGGAGGCCCCGATCAGGATGTCCAGAACGCAGAAATCGGTTCCTTCCCAAGGGAAACGTACGTGTTCAGCAGATTCGCTGTTCGGGTCTTTGCGGCGCCCAAACCAGACAAAAAAGGCCTCGGGTATCGCCCCAAGTCGGCCCAAAAGACCCACAAGAGAGCCTCTAGACGGCCTGGTTGGCCCCAAGATTGCCCAAGGAAGCCCCAAATGGGCCAAAAAGAGGCCCAACAGGCCCTCACAAGGCCCCCAAGAGATGCCCAAGAAGGCCATGAAATGCCACCAGGATGGCCCACGTAGCCCCCGTAAGGTCCCTAGAGGGCCCGAGCTCCCCAACACGGCCCAAGATGGCCCCAGGACGGCTCGCGAGGGCCCCAAGCCGGCCCACCAGGGCTCCAACAAGTCCCGCACG